ATATATATAAGTAGATATGAAATATACAGATTAAATAAAGTATTCACATGGCTGCACTAATAGAGGAGAGCAAGCAAAAGGTATGTTCTAGTTTCTCTTACACAGAGTGAAACGCAACTTTTGAAGCTGCCAATAGAGGCTTCCAAAGGAATTGCAATTTCAATGCCGTCTTCTTTGTCCCTAGCTAGAGAAGCAAAGTCTGCAAGGTTCAATGACGCTGCAGCAAGTATGTTTACCTTTTGATCTGGTCCTCTGCTTGTACCCTGATTTATTAGAAGTATGAATAAGTATATGACACGAAGAAAAGGCGGAGAACTTGAGAAATTAGTGTAGATGAAAGCTCAAACTGAAAATAAAGGATTAGTAATATACCAATGGATTGAAATATTCGATTATGAACAACAAGATAGGTCTCAAAACAGTGAAAGAAACATGCAACAAAGGCCAAAGCCATGCCCGCGAAACAATTAGCCATAAGAATATGCTTGCAACCGACCAATAACACCTCCTATTGTTGGATGCATAAAGAGAACAACTATGGAAATTGGAACGGCATATACTCCAAGGTTCTTAATCAATGCTACTACAACAACAACAAGGACGATCCAGTAAAATCCCACTAGTGGGGTCGGGGAGTGTAGTGTGCATGCTGACCTTACCCCTACCCGAGGGAGTAGATACGCTGTTTTCGAAAGATCCTCGGCTCAAGAAACTCTTAATCAATGCTAATTTTTAATTAATAACAGACTATGCCAGTAGTATGGATTTTTCTTCCTTTTTTTTTCAAAAAGAAAAATATGATGAATATAGTAGGTCTCACCATCCATATTACATCAATACAAATGACCCCCACAAGCTCAAAAAGTGGATCCATTAAAGACAATCATTACATTCCAAAAAGCTTAAACTTCTCACTCCTAATGCAAGTCAGGAATAGTATCTTCACTATTCAATTTTTTAGACAGCAATATATCAAACTGGATTATGTTAAAACTCACTTTAACCCACTAAGTTACTAGGAGTAATAAAATTCGGTAAAAACCATACTGATGATGAACTTTATGAAGCAACTCTAGTTTAACACATCCTCTGAAGAGGCTCATACAGATGCTGCTGAAATATACTGAATCACTGTGACCAAATAATCAAAACCAAGCATGGATTAACCAATTAAAGAAAACAAAAAGTATCCTAATTTGAGGAAATTCAAGAAATATTCATCCCAAACAAGTTATATGACATGATCAGGATTCATAACACAGTACAAAAATCAAGAAAGGTTCACCACCACCACCAACAACAACAACTAAACCTCAGTCCAAAACAATTTGAGGTCGGCTATATGAATCCTCACTTCTCCATTTAAGCTCAATCCATATCATCTTTTTTTGTCTTAAGTTAGGTACTGGGTGAGCCTTTCTTCTGTTAAAAGGGGATGGGGTAGACCTAAAATCGCAAGAATGGCTCACCTGTACTTAATTTAAGACAACAAAAGCACGAACTAGTTCTCAACAAAAGTCAAGTTCCAGCTACTATATAGTCAAGATATTTGATCCCATTCAGTAATTTTCTGATAACATAGAGTTTCAATAGCTATATCACAGAAAAAGACAAAAACAGTTTCAATAATAGGGGAGGTAATCAAATTCCCTAGAGTTGGATTCAGTATTCTTATTGCATAAGAATATAACAGCCAAAAACCCAAAAGACTAAAAGGATCAGAGATCAAAGAAATAAACTCACATTGAACACAGTAAAAGCAACCTCCCAAGGATGAAACACACCATCTTTATTAGCTGAAAAGTTACAAACACTCTGAAACTCCTCATTCCATTCAACAACACCATTTTCCTTTAAAGACTCTTCCTTTGTAAAATTCTTCTTTACACTACTACTTCTCCTTGTAAGAGAGCTCAAATTCAAAGAACTACTCTTTGAGCCTTTCCACTTAATTTCAACTCTTAATTTTTCAAAATCTTGGAACCCCATTTGCACATTTGACATAAAGTTGAAATCTTTAAGACAATTAACAATTATCTTAGCCTCAATTTTCTTGGATGATAGTGGTGGCCATGGCCTCCACTTCATCATTTTCACTACCATTTTTTATTTTTATTTTTGCTTTTGCTTTTCAATCAAAAATACTAAAGACCCAAATCAAGAAAATACCCAAAGATCAATTTTTGACAAGAAAGAATCAAAGTGATCCAAAAACACTATAAACCCAGAACAAGAAAAACACAAAAAGATCACTTTTTTGTGCTTATATAGGGAAAAAAGTGATCTTTGTTTGAAGAATTGTGGGATTAAGAGTGGATAAAATGGAATTTACTTAGGATTAGGTGTTATGTGAAGAGGGATTATGAAAGTTAGTTTGGAATCAAATGGCAGAGAGAGAAAAAAGGGAGGGTGATGAATATGATACTGAGGACTTGAGGAGAGTGCATGTAGTAGACTCTATTTTTATAGGACTTCTTCTTTTTCTTTTTACGTTTTCTTTTTCGTTTATTTTGGTGAATTCAATTTACTTTTGAGGAAAATATTTTAATGCCACGTTAAAGATTTACTAAAAACTTGTTAAAGATAAGATCTTATACTTCTAAAATAAGAACTGTCAATGAAATATACTTTTTATCCTTAACTAGTATTAGTACCCACGTGGATGCGCGGGTACTAATCATGTCAAATATTTAAGTTATTTGGATTGTATGTAAATAATCTTAAAATTTACACTTNATTTGAAATCGATGAGATTAAACTTTTAAAATTTTTATACTCAACAAAGATGAAACATAAGAAGAAATTTGTTGTCATCTTTTATTTCTCGTTTTTAGATCTTTCTAATATTTTTTTAATATTTATTTTCTTTTATCTTATTTTTTATGTCACTATTTCTTTTGTTACAAAAAATTAATTTATTTCACTATAAACGGATGAGTTTTGATAAATTGTCTTCATCTGAACTTTAATTATATTTTTAGTCTTTAGTGAAATTATTTCATATTTTTCTTTTGGCTTTATCTAATCAGCCTGAATAGGTGCTCACGCGACCATTAAATTAAAAAACTGGATGATGTGTAATTTATATATAATCCATATATAATATGTGTGTAATCGTGTGTTATTGGTATATCGTCTATTTATATTAGCTATAAAAAGTAAACAATAAATATGGCTGGATATTATGTAAATATTCCATAAGATTTCGTTTTTTTGAGTTTATCCATGATATAACTTCTATTATTATAATTTTAAAACACTCTACTAATGTTCAAAAATATCTTATCTTTTTATTATCTTTGAATTAAAAAAGTAAAGAGTTTTTTCGAAATAATTTGTTTACATTTAAAAAAAAAAAATTCACGTCATACCAATATTTTCTTTATATATACTCTTTGTTACACTTAAAAGTCGCTATAGAAAATATCAATTAGAAACTAATTTCAATCTTGTTGAGTTTGGAAAAAAAAAACCTTTCACATAATCTAATGATTCAAAATTAATATTCTTCAACGAAAAAATTATTATACCCTTACAATATTGGCTTAACTACAGCTAAATGAAGGGTCCAACTTATACCCTTTAATTCCTTAAATGTGCTAAATTGAAATTAATAATAGCAATTGTATAGCCAAAGTTTTGTTATTTGTTTGATGTCCATATATGCAAATTGACTCTTCAAACAAATATTCTTCAAGAAGAAAAAAGAAACAACTTTTTTTTAATATTGACTGATTTTGTGATGTTTCTTTCTCTAGCATGTATGTTTACTTTATTATATATGTAAGTAAACTTTTATTTGGTTTTGTAAACTCTTTTTTGTTATTTAGATAAATATAGACGTGTACCCTATATGTTACATTTATTTTAAAAGAATTTCGTTTTATTCAAATCTAGCTACAGTATTTCAAAGAACTATACTTATAGGATTTTAAATATGAAAGAGTTTTATAGGTATATGGAGTAGTTTTTTTTTTGCTAGAGGCGAAGTAGTATTAAAATAATTAAAAAAATAACAACAGTTCCTAACATGATTGCATATGATCATTAACCGAATTAAGTATGATAACATGATAAAAAAAAAGGATAAATTTTATTTTTAATTAAATTCGAATTTTAGAACTTTATCTATAAATTCAAAATTATTTTTTAATTCAAATATATATATATATATATTATATTTGTATTTAACTAAAATAGTCAAATATAGAACAAAGTTACCATATATTATTGATATTTATTAACTTGCCACTTGACTTAACCATAATGTCAATTATATATGGTAACTTTCTAGCTTTATAGACTAGAAGATTTGAATCTCGAAATTAAAGTCTAATTTTAATAGGACGCTTTATTTCATAATGAGACTTTACGATGCAAATTTACATTAGTCAAAATTCAGAGTGGTGTAAACACTCGGTGTGGGTAAGTATTTACGATGCAGTGAAATATACAAATTTAATTTTCATCTAATTAAATTAATTAACCATAGTAAGTTAATATAGTTTGGTGTAAACACCCGATATGGGTAAGTATTTACCAAACATAGAACAACACATCGGGTGAGAAACAAAAAAAAGACTACTTCTATTTTGTTGCTATTTAAGTGAATTGATTTACAATTAAGGAAAAAATATTAAATGCTACAATCAAGATTACTAAGATTAAATTTGTAAAGATCGGGTCTTATCCTTCTAAGATAAGAATAGTCTTTTTTTCTTTTTCTTTCATTAAGAAGATAAGAATTGTCAGTGAAATATAACCAAATTTTTCCCTTTCTTTTGGTTTTTTGTAAAAAAATTAGAGTAAATTTTAAACAATACTTTGACGTTTTGGAGTTGGGACACTACACTAGAATGGAAAAGGAAAACACCTTTGAGCTAACAATATCTTGTAGTTTCGATTATTAAAGACTTACAGTAATTCACAATAATTTTTTTATTGTAACTTTCTATTTCAAAGAAATTTATAGATGCGATTTTAATAAGGAAAATACTAAATGTGTGAGAAATTAAGACACAAAATTAGAGAAATGTATTTGACAACTTTTTAGCTAAAACTAAAAAATTTCTTGATTAAAATGATACAAGCAACATCCTTCAAAAGGAAAATTTTAGTTGTAATAAAAAGGAAAACATTTATAAAGAAAATATATATTAAAGGTTTCCTAAAGAAAGCTAAAAAGAAGGTAATTTTTCAATTGAAAGGAAGCTAATTATACTCCATTCCTTATTAGCTTTAATAATTTTGGCTTAAAACTTAAGTGTATTTTAAAGTTTTTAACAATTCCGACAATGCGTATCTTTTAGGTTAGGATGTTTCTTTCCCATTCAAAAAGAAAATTGATATTGTCTTTCAAACTCAAAAAATTAAAAGATTAACAAGAATTACTTATTTTTATATAAAACATTTTTCGAAACCAATTTCCCAAAAATATAAAAAAGCAAAATTCAAAACGCCACCTAAAGTTGATGGCAAATGAAAATGAAAAGCTTTTTGGTAGGGACCGTTTGATCCCTGGTACGTCTATACGATGCGAATTCAGATATTAAGTCATCGGTAAATTTTGAATACCAAATAATTAAACAAGAAAATTACGTATTGAATATTTCAAACAAATAATGTAAACTTTTAACTTCGACGCTACAACAACAACAACAATCCAGTATAATCCCACAAGTGGGGTCTGGGGAGGGTATTATGTACGCAGACCTTACCCCTACCCCGAAGGGTAGAGAGGCTGTTTCCAGGAGACCCTCGGCTCAAAAAAACAATAGAAGATGATATATTAGTACCATAAAAATGCATAATAAAAATAACAACAATATATAAGAGATATAAAATATATAATAACCTAACTTCGACGCTATGGCTAGTAAAAAAAGCCAAACATGTAGCTGTACATACGAATAAGAAATCATCAAAATTTAGGTTATTAATGTTTAAAAATAGCCGAACAACTGGAATTTGTCGTAGAACAATGTATGAATATTTCTGGATAGTTTTGAATATGAATCTGCATTTCTTTTCGGCATATCTTTGTATGCATTTACAATACTTCGGTCCACAATAAGTGGCTTTTTGGCCTTTGGCACAATCCTTAACTAAATACTAACTCCTAGAAAAAATAAGTATCTCGACTAAATTACCTTAATTAAAATTTGCATATTGTTAACTTGACATATTGGGATATGTAAATACGGGCAAATTTGAAAAACTATTATTAATTCATTCTTGATTACGTAAAAAAGATACTTATTTTGAACCAAAATAAAAAGATCAAAAAGTTACTCCCTCTCATCCACAATAAGTGATCAATTTTTTTTTTATTTTGATCCAAAATAAATGTCTATTTATATAATCAAGAAAAAATTCAATTTATTTTTTCAAACTTATCCTTATGTACATATTCCTAAAAAGTCATTTACTCATCACATTTGAGAAGAAAAGTAAGTACTACTATAATTATGGTGTAATATTTAATGAAGGGTAGTTTAATCACACTAATTATTTTCATCTAAAATTCAATATTTTCTTAATGGATGTGCTCAAAATAAATTGATCAACTTATTGTAGATCGAAAGGAATACTTATTATGATTGGACCAAACAGAGTAGTGTTTTTGCTCTCTTTTGTTTGTTTCCGTTAAATTACATGATTAATTATGGACAATCAACGCGCACTTTCAGTGGTGGTTTGATTATTGATGTCAACAATATGTACCAATAAACCCAAGTTTGAGCAGTAGAGGCCACAAATTTTAAAGTTATGGCCAGAAGCAGATTCATGGTTTAAGTTATATGTATTCAATGCCATATTTTGTAACGATTCGGCCGGTCATTTTAAGAATTAACGCCCCAATCCCTTATTAACTAGTTTTCCCGTATTTATTTCTGCTATTGTGACTTGCCGAGAGGGTTCGTTTGGAGTTTCGGAGTGTTTTGGGACACTTAGTCCCTAAATAAGAGCTTAAGCTTTAGAATTTGGACCGCAATCGGAGCAGTGTGAAGACGGCCTCATAATAGAATTACACCGGTTCCGTTAGCTCCGTTGGGTGATTTCGGGCTTAGGGACGTGTTCGGATTGTGCTTTGGAGGTCCGTAGCTTATTTAGGCTTGAAATGCCGAAAGTTAAATTTTTGAATTTTCCGGTTCGATAGTGAAATTTTGATCTAGGGGTCGGAATGGAATTCCGAGAGTTGGAGTAGCTCTGTAATATTGAATGTGACGTGTGTGCAAAATTTCAAGTCATTCGGACGAGGTTTGATAGACTTTGTGGTCGAAAGCAAAATTTGGAAGATTTGGAATCCTTAGGCTTGAATCCGAGGGTGAATTGGTGTTCCAGTGTTGTTTTGAGTGTTCCGAGGATTGGCACAAGTTTGAATAGTGTTATGTGACTTGTTCGTACTTTTAGTTGA